TTGTAGACCTTGCTACCTGTACAATAATTGTAGACCTTGCCACCATACATATTATGGACCTTAGTACCTGTACAAAATTGTGGGCCTTGTCAACTGTACAATAATTGTAGACCTTTGGTACATAACTGTACAATAATTAGACCTTGTCACCTGTACAATAATTGTGAGCCTTGCCACTGTATATATATTGTGGACCTTGTCCTGTACAATAATTGTAGACCTTATCACCTGTACAATAATTGTGGACTTGCACTGTAATGTAGACCTTGCCACCTGTACAATAATTGTGGACCTTGTCGATTGGACCTTGTACTGTACAATAATTGTGGACCTTGTCACCTGTACAATAATTGTAGACCTTGTCACCTGTATGTGGATTATCACCTGTACAATAATGGTGGACCTTACCTGTACAATAATTGTGGACCTTGTCACCTGTACAATAATTGTGGACCTTGTCAACTGTACAATAATTGTGGACCTTGTCACCTGTACAATAATTGTGGACCTTGTCACCTGTATAATTGTGGATGCCACCTGTACAATAATTGTGGACTTGCACTGACAATTGGTTTCAACTGTACAATAATTGTGGACCTTGTCACCTGTACAATTGGATAATTGTCCCTTGTCACCTGTACAATAATTGTGGACCTTGTCACCTGTACAATAATTGTAGACCTTGTCACCTGTACAATAATTGTGGACCTTGTCCTGTACAATAATTGTGGACCTTTTGTCTAAATTTGTGGACTTGTCACCTGTACAATAATTGTGGACCTTGTCACTGTACAATAATTGCAGACCTTATCCTACTACAATAATTGTGAACCTTGTCACCTGTAAATAATTGTAGACCTTGTCACTGTACAATAATTGTAGACCTTGTCACCTGTACAATAATTGTGGACCTTGTATACACAATAATTGTAGACCTTGCTGCAATAATTGTGGACCTTGTCAACTGTACAATAATTGTGGACCTTGTCACCTGTACAATAATTGAGGACCTTATCAACTGTACATTTGGACCTTGCCACCTGTACAATAATTGTGGACCTTGTCAACTGTACAATAATTGTGGACCTTGTCCTTTGTACAATAATTGTGGACCTTGTCACCTGTACAATAATTGTGGACCTTGCCACCTTCACAATAATTGTGGACCTTGTCAACTGTGCATGGTTGTGAACTTGCAATAATTGTGGACCTTGCCACTTTCTGTACAATAATTG